TTTTTAAATTCCCCCAAATTTTTAAATCAATCATTAAGTGGCACCAATTTCAATAAAGGTTCAAAACTCAAAAATCACAAAAAAAAATTTTAAGATATTTAAGATGAAATAAATTATCAAAACACTTAAAGTAAAGATCCATCCATCCATCCTATGGAACAATTTATACAACAACATCAAGCCTTTATCCCACTACGTGGGGTCGGCTACATGAATCTTTTTTTTCCATTGTGTCCTATTAAAAGTCAAATTCTTGTTTAAATCTAATAAAGAAAGGTCATTCCTAATATTTTCTAACCAAGTCTTTTTAGGTCTACCCCTATATTTCTTAACATAAGTCAAATCTAATACCTCTACTCTCCTAACCGGGTCATCGCAAGGCCGCCGTTTTATGTGACCAAACCATCTAAGGCGACTTTCTCTAATCTTATCTTCTACTGGAGCTACTCCAACCTTTTCACGTATATGCTCATTCGTATCCTATCTCTAAGGGTAAAGCCACTCATCCACCTGAGCATCCTCATCTCTGTCACACTTAACTTAGTATTATGCTTCTCTTTTAAAGGCCAACATTCGGCACCATAAAGCATTGCAGGCCTCCATGTGGATAAATTTAAAAATCACTTCAGCTCATAAAGAGCGAATGTCTAGGCGAGAATATCACTAAGATTCATTCTCAAATCGTCTATCGCCAGTAAGGACGTGACATGCATTCTCTAATCGACGGTTTCGAAGCCAAATAACACCACAGGTAAATGATTATAATCAGGGCCCTCTGACCTGGTGGTTCTGACGCTAAATGACACCATTAAATTACGGTCATGATCAGAGTCCGTATGTTCTCCAGTGGCTCTAAATCATTGAGTAATAAATCATTATAATATAATTGATAGGGCAAAAAGTAATATGTTAGCTAAGATGGACTCAAATCTGCCCTCTTAGACAAGCATCTATTCTAGATGTATAAGGTACCCTTGGACGAAGCAATCCATGGATCCGTTAGTTAGGTTGGGTTGACTATGGACTTCCTCTTCTGACTAAGTAGATTAGGTGAAAGTTCATTAGGGATGTTAAGCCCTATAGAACTGGCCCAAGCTAACAAAGAACAGAGGTGAATTGGATAACTTTAAAACCAAAGATAAAACTCAAACCAAAATCACCACAGAAATCAAAGTGCGGAAATTAAATAATGCGGAAGCAATAATAGCAATAAAAAGAAAAGAACACATCGGATTTATAGTGGTTCGGTCAAACCTTGACCTACGTCCACTCCTTGGAGGCACCCTCCAAGTATTGCACTACAAAAGTGTCTCTCCTTTAGCCCCCACAGCTAGGCGGAGAAGCCCTTACAAAATCACTTTTACCTTCCCCGGTGCGGCAGAGTCGTCGGGTCCTTTGAGACCAAGGAGATCTTCTTCTTTGGAGAACTTACCTCGAGACAAGCCTTGAATCCGATGGCACTAAGGTGCGAGTTCGCCGGAGCAACCGTGTGGA